AAAAAAAAAACCATTAGTGCAGCATATTGGTATGCTTGTGAGTTGTGACATTCAAAAGATGCCATAATCGCACGTTTCTGCAGAATGGCATGTGTATTTTTTATTTTGTATTTGCTTCCCTGTTTCAGAATACAATGCAAAACAGCTTTTGGGCAGTTTTGATGGTCTATATAAAATATGAACAACAAACAAAGTTTAAATGGATGGACATGTTCAGCAAGCACGCTGGTCCATTGGTTTGCATTTTCAACCAGTTCTTTCTACAAACATCACAAACAAGTAGTGAAAATTAAAAGTTTGCTAAATTGCGGCTTTCGGGATTATTTCCTCGCAAAATACAATTCTAAATTGCAGATGCAACATACAAAATTTTCAAATCGGAATTCCAAAAGATTTTTTCAACTTCTCCACTTCCAAATAAACTGTAGAGTACGGGAGGAACTCATTGAAATAGCTCTTACTCAGATCATTGATAGCAACAGCAAGTTTAGGAATCTCCAAGATTTCTTCATGGGTCAGACTCCGAACATATCTTGCTGGGTTCCCAGCCCATAGTTCTCCTGTTGGAATCCTTCTGCCTGGAGGAACAACAGATCCAGCTTCAAGGATTGAATTAGTCTCAACCAATGAACCTTCCATAAGGATGGAGTGCTGTCCTATAATGCATTCTGGCTCAATCGTGCAAGAACGCAGAAGACAGTAAGCACCAATTGTCACAAATCTTTCAATTGAAGTTTCCGCAGGCAATCCTAGAAAAACCAAAACAAGAATTTGTGTAAGATGAGGTGCAATACTTTTACGACATAAAGAAATATTTAAAAGATGCGAAAAGAAAACTAATTGAACAAAATCTTTATTGGGTTTATTGTATGACTGGGAGGTTAATCTATATTTATGTCAATATAGGTTAACCTATTTAGAAGCTAAAATTTATTCTTGTCAAAAAGAACATCTAACCTATTTAATGCTTCCTTCAATTATGAATGAACTGCCCCAGAAATTACATGCAAGTCATCCTTGTA